TATTCTTTCCTCCTAGGGTGGTCCCTCTAGGTGTCTAAATCCCTAGAGGTCCTCCCCTAAATGGAAAGAACCGACCACTGTCGGGCTTACACTCAGTAGCTCGTAAGAACTAGCCTACTCGACTACGTACATGACCCGGTGGTACATCTCGGTCGTCTGCAGAGGTTCCTGTCCCCGCCCGTGGTGAAATGACAATCTGTCGAGTCATTGGCGGAGCGGAGCGAGCCCAGTAAAATACCGATGCTTCCCCGACACATGTCTGACCCTTTTAGGATGTTTAAGCTTATATACTGTCTATCAATGAGTCTTTTTTAAAGGAATTTCACGACTTAAGTCAATTGTGTGGCTTTAATGCAGTTTGGACGCACAAATAATAGGACATGACATCTATGTGGTTTAAAACTACGAACAACATTAGACCAACTTTGTATCACGTTCTAAGAAGGTGACGAGCCCTCGGCAATCCACTGATCCTCCTGGGCCCTCAGCTTCTTTCCGCCATCGGGCTGATCAGTGCCCACTAACGTCTTGGATATCGCGTATCCTCTGCGGCTCAGCGTCCATTCGAGAAACCGGTAACTGGGTCGAGCGTCGGGGGCCAATTCGATATCTAGGGCACTACTATTCGAGCTGGGCATGACCGCGATTGTAGATGAAACGCATGGCCGTCAAGAGCCAGCTTTGCTGCCGAGACTCAAGACGGACCGCCCGATGGATCCACCATCCCCAGGAGATCATGTCGTATTCTTGGTCCTGCTCCGTGAAGCGTAGTGTGATGTGGCCGTAGGATACGATCAGGGCTCTGTCGTTGTTGATCTTGACATCGACAGGCTGGATCGAGTGCGTCAATGATATGCGGCCGGTCATATCGATGGATCGCTCCACAAACTCGTCAATCTCGCCGGCAATCCTTGGAATCCTTTGGTCAGCTAAGGCTGATTCTCAATCGGGATTTGAGCCATTTCTGCCCCAAATATTCATTGGCATACCATGCAATTTCGATCCATGTCTCGGACGAGTCTGGGTGATAGCAGTCTCGCTACCTTCCCACTGCTGCGTGTCTTTCAGATATCTCTCGCGAAGCACAAGAGAGCGGAGTTGAAAGTCATCCTGGAAGTTTCGAGTCGACATTTGGTGTCGATCTATGAGCCCAAGATTCTTGAATGCCATTATCAGAACGATGCAGATGATTTGTACAAAGCCGAGGTACATGGGTATTGAAGACCAAACCCTGCCAGGCTGCGGGACCTCAACGCTTGGGATCCGTCGGGAGCATCGGCAACTTCGGCTCAGTGATAAACCACAGTATCTTGCTGGCCATGTCGACTGGCTCTGACACTATTCCAGGCACTTCCACTTACGTTATGAGGCTGGAAGTTCTATAGGGTTGCGGGCAGATGACACGAGAACAGTGGGGGAACCCAATGCTCTCCGGCTTGATTTTGCTAAAGGGCACCTTTTGTCAGGATCTCCACTGAGATAGACGCTGTAGGGATGTAACCGCTTGTATTCAACTATGAAGTCCTATAGTACAACGACTCGACGCTTAGAAGGGAGAGAAAACCTCTCCCACCCGAGTTGGGTCGGGCAGGTTTTGTAGAGCTTCTCCTCTTTTGATGTCACGTGCTTTAACGCCTCTTGAGACTATACGTGCCGACGGCGTCCGTTCTCACGTGTTAGGCGAAGCGTAATCTTCTAGGTAATAGGATGACTAGAGGTCCAAATGTCATGTATTGTCGAGTCTGACCTCGATCACTATGAGGCGGTTCTCTATCTATTATATACATATAGCAAAAAGGAGCGTAATTCTTCCTCCGATTGAGGCATTCCTCGTTGCCGCATCAACTCCCGAAACGATAGCATATATAGGCCTAGAGAATGAGGCCCTGGGAGTTGCCTCAACTACGGGCGCTTCATCGGATAGAATAGGAAGAGGAATGAGGCTACACTAGGGTGGTAAAAGGAGCGTTTTGAGACCTAGGAATAGGCCTCGACTTGTAAAGACCGTATTGGCGGAGTACTCCGCAAGGGAGGCCGGCGGCCGTCTAACAAGGAGACATGATCGTGGTGCTGGTTTGCAGTTAAATATTATGCTTGACGGTAAACGTTACTGTCCAAGCAGATGAAGAGAGGCTTCATGATACCTGCCTGGTCCATCTGTAGCACAAGTCGTCAGATCGTGCGCGGGACAGTGTCTCTGTCGGTAGTGAAAAGCCAGGTTAATCGTAGGTCTCTTGGATATTCGATGCAAGTCAGAACAATTCATAAGCATCATGTCACGTGTAATTTCTTGGCAAACCCCCCCTATATCTCCGGCCCGCCTGAGCTTCTCCGCAAGATCCAGGGCAGTCAAACTTCCGAAAATGCCGTCGGCTCGCAGGTAAGGCCTCCGTCTCGCGGAGGAGTTTGAATTTCTGAGGCTCAAAACGAGTCCATATCAGAGCTATGGAGTTATATCCGTATATAGGTAACCATTGCGACGATATGGCCCAGGTAGAACAAGAGATGAGACTAAAGAGCTGTAATCCCACCATTTCAATCGACTCACCCAAGTTTAACCAAACACGAAAGCTACCATGACTACCTCCCTACCCTCGCCTAAAGATGTTGTACCCGTCAAGGTGTGCGCCCTTCCGACCGGATGGCTATGTCATCCAGACCGCTGGCTCTTCGAAGACGGCGACGTCGACGAGGTCAACGCCAGACAGCAGTATCCTGATTATAGTTTTCTGATTCAACACCATTCAGGTCAGAATGTGCTCTTTGATCTGGGACTTCGAAAGGTAAGGCTTGTTTCTTAGCAATGGCAGATATGCATGTGGCCTCGCCGAAGAAGAAAATCCCTTTGACAGGTCCAGTCGTGCTCACTCAGTGTGCATCAATGTCAATAGGACTTGCAAAATGTCCCTCGAGCCATTCAGGCGGGTTTCCCCATCGTCAATCCACAAGTGCCCGAAGACGTGGTCGACCTTTTGTCCAAGGGCCCAGTATCCCCCTCATCCATCCACTCCGTCATCTTCAGCCATCTCCACTTCGACCACGTCGGGGACAGCACAAAGTTCCCCTACCCGACTCTCGTCGCCCGTCCCGGCAGCAAGGCTGCGTCGGCGCCCGGCTTCCCCGTCAATCCTGGCTCACCATTTGAATCGGCGCCCATCCAACACCCGCACTATCGGGAACTCAGCTTCGAGGACGACAAGTGGGCTACCCCCTTTGGGCCTTTCAGTCGGGCGCACGACTTCTTTGGCGACGGCAGTTTCTGGCTCGTCGACACCCCAGGCCACATGCCGGGTCACATGGGTGGATTGGCCCTGTCCGGGCCTGACGAATGGGTCTTCATGGGCGGCGATTGCTGCCACCATCGGTCCCTGCTTGTGGGCAGCAGGCCCATGAGCGTTACCGTCGGCCCGGCCGGTCTGACCTGTTTCCATAAAGACCCGGACACTGCCGCGCAGACGATCGCAAAGATTCGCGAGCTCGAGGCCTCGGCTCCAGTCATGGTCGCCTTGGCCCACGACTCGTACCTCGTCGGGAGAATGCCCGTATATCCCCAGTCCATCAACAACTGGCGCATGAGTACCTGGAAGAAAGACCTCGATAGTGTCTTATCCAAGGACTACGGGGTTCGCAGATGAGATAGATATATACCCCGAGGTGTGTATCGTCCTTTACAATCTTCGTTCTGGAAAGGGAGTGATGTCGCTTCAATCGGGCACATGACGGACCACCGAGGAGGCCTGGCTGAGCAACTTTATTTCTATGAAACATGTTGTCATGTATATATCTTGTACAACTCATGTTCTGGCAATGCACTGCCTTCGAATTTCATTGCTTGTCCATAAACTTCGGATGTAACGGGCTAGGATGCATGGATCCGTGCCATTCGGTCGTGTGGTTTTCATCAAATGCTCCGATTTTGTTCGCCGGTTGCTGGAAATGTTCTGTCAGCCGTTTTATCTACGGAGGTCAGGTCATTAGAGAATGGATTTGGTGGATCAATAGGCTCAGTTCTACATGTTGACAGACGTCTCCATTCAGGGCCTTTGGTTAGCTTTAGGGTGGATGACAGCTTCAACGGTTTGGATCGAACTCTTAGCCAAAGGACATATCACTTAGGTGTTGCTTTAGTAGTCATGGAAGAAGGACAGCAACGAGACGCTGTCAGACGGAAAAGGGGGGCATCAATCGAAGACATGCATAGGCGCTACTTCATCCATGATATCTAAGTAAGAAAACATTCATGTTTCCGCCTTTCTTTTATCTTAAATTGCGGTAAGACTGAAAGACAACTTATCCATATACCCTGTCACAATTTTTGGAACCTGTTGCTCAGCTCGGGAAGGTAGGGAGAGCAAAATGTAGCACTTCCAGCTGGGTTCCCTGGGCACTCAGTTGTGCTTCTTCTCCGGGACTCAACTGCACCGCTGACTGTTCCCGCAACCCCTGATCATCAATCTTTCCGGTGCCAGCAAAGACGAAGAGCAATTGGATGGCCTTCTTGGGGTGTAGCTTCATACTTGCATCTCGAAGCCTGAAGAAATTGGCTGCAACACTCCCATCTGAGAATACACCCAAAGGTTTTACTTCGACCGTTCCAGGAGCTTCACTCTCGTCAATCTTTTGCCACCTGAAGGCAGTAGTGTTCATCAGCAGTGGTTGTCGGTATCGAGCAACTGGGTACTCGAGTTTACGGCCGTTTTTGTATTCCCACAAGCCTTCGTAACCGTCAACAGCCTTGGAAGGATCTTCTTTCGGAATAAACTTTCCTCCTTCGAATCTTCCGATACCCTTGACGTTCATTTCTTCCTGAACCGACTTCAGCTGGGCATAGCTCAAGTATCCTTGGCCGCTGGGACCGCCAAATTGTAATACAAGTACTTCTTTGACAGCATCACCGTCATTTTGAGGACCATACCATGATCCCTCAGGGAAATACGCGACTTCTCCCTCTCGAAGGATCCAATCATCACCCTCACCCAAAGTGATATCGCCCTTGTAGGCGAAGCGAAACTGTTCGAAATTATGGTGGTGGCGCGGCGAATAGAAAGCTTCTTGCCTCGCAAGCATGAGAAAAAAGTTGGAAGGGCTATCCTCCTCTCCGAGAAGCAAGTACTTGAACAGTGGTGCCCCCGGGCGGTGCTTGAGTCCGCTACTGGTGTACTCCATATCTGACCCATGGACTAACTTCATCTTGGTTGTGGCAGTCAAGAGTGTTACAAGTGGACTCTGATTTTCCTGTTGTGTACAAAAGTAATCGACAGTGGCTGGCCCTGAGAATGGTAGGCCTTACGTCGGCTATTTATGGTCTCTTACCCTTGGAGACATGGAAGAAAATTGAGGAGCAAATGGTATGCATCCTGTAGCGGCAGGATCCTCCAATGGTCATCACACAGTTGACATGTCATCGCAGCCAAGATTGCGCGGTACTTACTGGCCGATTGCATCCGTCTCTGTTTCAGGTTTTCCACCTCTCAAGAAGCACAGGAGCTCTTCGTGGAAAAGATTCCGCTCTACTGTCAGTCCCGGTCCACAGTGTTACCCGGTGTTCCCTATTTGCTGAAGTCTTCGTCCCCGTCCCAGAACATGAACGATGCATCGAAGTCCATCTGAACGGTCTTGACGAACTCATTCTCCTGCTGTCTTCGCTTGCGGGGCCAAGCTCTTGCAATCAGTTTCCATCTAATTCGGTTATTTGAGCGAGGCAATTTTCGGTAGTGCACCGCATATAAAATGCAAGAACCGGCATTCAATTGATTGAACGAAGCCATGGTAGGAGCTGGCTAAGTTTTCATCATACAGCGCTTCCCTATATACCTAATTCGAGTCTATCAAGAGTCCGTGAGTCACCTCTAGTCACTCTACCCAGACCAGCTCACCATGGCGCTCTTCGGGAACATAAGACACTATTTGAGCTTCATCACGAACAAGAGCACCATCCTCAACCTCTCCCTCCATGGCAAACCCATTGTACCAGGACAATACGTTCCTCGCTCAGGTGTGAAGTTGCCCATTCTTTAAGTCTTCTGCACATTGAATAAATCCTAAGCTTTCACAGAAGCCGAACATGCCCCAACGATCTCCTTTGAAGTACCTTCTTCCTCAGCAAAGTACCTAGTGGTGTGCATTGACCTAGATGGCCCATACCCCAGCTTCAACATACTGTCTCCCAT